AAAAAATATGAAATAAATAGATGATATTCATAAAATCTGCAAAGAGTGCCAGTCTTTGATAGTCATAGCTCAAAACGTTCTTAAATATATATTTAGTTTTTCACTTATTATTTTTTGCACAAACTTGAATTCAAAGGAAGTTTTTACTCGGATCTCTGCTAATTTCAAAAGTTGATTTCTATGGAGCCTTTCAGGGCGAACTTAATCGATAATTTCTTAATTAAATTTCGTTCGACAGTGGAGCGGGTGAGTGAGCTACTGGTTCCGCTCGGAGACAATTGGGATTGGCTTCTGGTTGGGCTAATGCAAAATGCCTGACCTTACGCAAAAGCCATTTTGTGAGAGACGGCGACGTCGCTGCTGACGCTGACGCTGACGCAGACGCTTCCGCTGCTGTCGCCAATCAATCAAACGGACGTCGACGTCGGCGTCGTTGTTGTTGTTGTTGTTGTTGCGGCTTTTATTTATTTTGGCTCATTTTTACGCTTTATGCACTGCGCACTGGGCCGCAATTTGCTGCCTCCCCCATTTTCTGGTTGCCTTCTTGTTGTTTTCTTCTTCTGCTGCTGCTGTTGCTGCTTGTTCTGCTTCTTCCTCGGTTTCTTCGTTCGTGTTGTTCGTGCGCGTCTTGGCCTTCTGCTTGTTGCTGTGGCCATTAAATTTGATACCCACTTATTTGGCCAATAAAATTAACCTACCTCAACTAACCGGAGCCCCGTTCCAAGTGCAAGGGCCAGCTCGGCTTAAACTGTGCCGTCGTTTAACTGGCTCTCATGTGTGTGTGTGCGTGTGTGTGTGTGTGTGTGTGTGTGTGCGTCTGTCTGAAACATTGGGTTGGTCGGCACGGCGGTGCCTCATGTGGGTAGGGCTCTCGTTTTGGATGCGCCTAATGAGCATTGGCAACCACCGCAAAATGCTCAGCAGTAAACTTATTTAACATACGACCGGCTCAAGAGAGCTGCAAGCCAAAAAGTATTTTCTCCAAATGAATTGAAGAGTGAAATAATCCAATAATAATCAATAATGAGAAGTGCAGAGAGGGGCAATGTTTGTCTACAGAGTGAAACAGTGGATGGAGATGGAGTGAAGTATATAGAGAGAGTGAGAGATAGAGAAATGGAGTGTAGAAAGGCAGAGAAATAGATGAAGAGAGAGAGAGAGAGAGAGAGAGAGAGAGAGAGAGAAAGAGATACATATAAAGATAATGAAAGATATAGAGAGATCTTGAGAGATATATATAGAGTGAGATAGAGAGAGAGAGAGAGAGAGAGAGAGAGAGAGAGAGAGAGAAAGAGAGACGGATATAAATAATGAAAGAACAGGAGAGAGAGACAGAGAGAGAGAGAGAGAGAGAGAGGGAACGAAAAAAAAGAGATGGAGAGAGACTGAAAACGACACTGAAACGAGAGAGAGCGGGACATATACAAATGGAGGAAAAATTATAGAGATATTTGGAGATATATATATATATATATGTAGAGCGGGAAAGATAGAGAGAGAATGGAAAAGATTGAGATGGAGAAAGAGAAAGACAGAATGAGTTAAGATTCGCATTGTTCATACTTCTAAGCACAGTTAATTTTGGCAACTTCTCTCAATCTTTCTCTATCTATCTCTCCATCTCCATCTCCAGCTCTCCCTGTCTCTGTTGCTCTGGCTAAATAACAGTCCAAGCGGTAGCTGCTGCCCAGAAGCCCTGGCGGCCCTTGAAGTAGGTGCGGCCCCATTGTCGCCAGCTGCTCCACTCGGGCAGCTGTAAAAGGTGCGACAATTTAGACGTCGTCGCTGTCGTGGTCGCGCCTTGTCGCCGTCACTCCACTCCAGGCCGAGGATGAAGCCGAGAGCTGAGAGCTGGAAGCTGAAAGCTGGAAGCTAAGCGCAGACAACGCACCAATTAAAGAGTCGATCGCAGCGGCTCTGGTAATGGGACTGCATTGGCAATCGGCAACGACTTGGGCTTGGACAGGGACTGCGACTGCGACTGCGACTGGGGCCCGGCTCAAATTGGGGACAGGCAGCAACGGCTGCCCATTCACATTCACATTCACATTCACGTTTGCATTCGCATTCGCATTCGCATTCGTATTCGCGCTCACTCGATTGTGCGAGTGTCCATTGTCACTTGTTGCAATAAATTGAAATTGACCAAAAGCGTGCGGTGCCACTTGGCTGAGATGCCGGCCGCTTGCCTCACACTTGCCGGCACTCCACATTACTCATGGTGCCGCATGCGGCATGTATCTTGTTGCAAGTGCCCTGGGCTTTGGGCTTTGGGCTGTGGGCCCGTCGCCCGATTGGCTTGACAATAAATGTCAACACTTTGCGGCCGCTAATTTATTTGCGCGCCTGATGCGTGCCCCATCGCTGGCGGCCAGCATTTCTCGTTCGCATCATGGGCGAGGGGGGCGGGGTGCAGCATGTTGTCACTGACTCGTTACATAGAGCGATTTCGCGACCTTGAACCCCGAGCTGATTGCGTGAGCAAGCGAAAGATTTGCATTTCAATGTGCATATAAGAGGTGCTCCAATGTTATCGTTATCGCTGTGCGTGGTGTTATCGGTATGTCTTACTCTCTTAAATTTCCCTGTAATGGTTGTATTGGCTTATCTTTTCTTACTTTGTTTTCCTTCCATTAAATTCATCTACTTGTTAGTTTGGTTTTTCTTTCAATTTGTAGTTTATCGATATTTGCTTAACCAGTTATGTAAAGTTAAGAATCATGTCTCACTGTGTCAAGTTTTTTTTCAGATTTATTTTATTTGCATTGCTAATCTTACTCACATTCTTGTCTTCGATATTTATCGATTAATTTGCTCTCTCTTCTTCTTGTTCCCTAACGATGCTTACCCACATCTGTTTCATAACTGTTTCTACCCAGCTTAATAACATTCTTACTCACTTTATACTCCTCGCGTAACTTGTTTCCTGATCAATCCTCTCTCTCTCCCACTCTCTCTCTCTCTCTCTCTCTCTCTTTCTCTCTCTCTCTCTCTCTCTCGCATTTGTTAAGGCTAGCACGTCTGTTTCATTCCTTTGAACAACACAAAACTTTCTCAACACTTTCTTTTTCTCACTTATTCATTCTACCTCCCTCCCTCTCTCTCTACCTCTGTCTCTTCTCCTCACACATGTGCCACTTCATGCCATTAATCGTCATCGCAATAGTTTTATAATTGCTAACAACCTTCTCGGTTTGGCCCTTGCCCCTTTGCCAGTGTCCAAAAAACTGAAGAAAAGCAAAAACAAAATTCAAAAAAAAAAAAAAAAACACAAATTGAAGAAAGAAGGAGGGAAGCAAAAAAAAAAAAAAAATTAGGTTGTAGGCAACTTTGTTGGAGCAGCTCTCAGGCCGGGAGTCAGCGAAGCGCGGCAGCAACCAAAGTGTTGGCCATCCACTGGACAGGCACCAGCAGAGGCACAGGCACAGGTAGAGGCCGGCGTCCTCGCCGCGCGGCGTCGCTGTCGTCATCCTCGTGGTCGGTTGGCTGACACGCGGCCGCGGCAGCCGCTGATGGTCAGAGCCAAATGTAGCCGGCGTCCAGTGGCCAGGCAATTAAAATTTTGCGGCGACTGAAGGCAGCCGCTGCTTAACAGAGCCGACGGTCCGCACTCGTCGACAGCGTCTGCGTCTCCTCCGGCCCACCGCTGCCCTCTGCCCCTTGGCCAGCAATGCTATTCCCTTTTTGCCTAAATAAGTCAACTGTTACGACGGCGACGACGACGGCGACGACGACGGCGACGGCGTTGCGGCCAAATGGGCGTATGAAATGCAATTAAATTAAATTTGCAGTTGCAAGTGTTCGCCGTGGCAGCAGACGATGAACGGAATAGGTGAGAAGAGCAGCGAATAGAGCGAGAGAGACGGTGAGAGGGTTGGTGTGAGAGGGAGGGTAAGAGCAATACAAAGGCGAGACGACGCAACGCTGTAGCCGTAGCCGTAGCTGGAGCTGGAGCTGGAGCTGTGAGCGAGACCACAAACAACTTGTCATAATGACCAGTGTCAATTTAGCATAATTAACGTCTAATTGAAATAGTTATCCGAACTGCGCGCATCCCTGCTGCCATGGGAGGTGCCCAGGGGGATGGCCATTGAGCGGCCGGCCGAGGGGTAGTCCGAAGGCGTCAGTGCGTGACATGGGAAACGGCCAATAAGTACCTGTCTCTATCAACAGATCAAATTGAATTCACTCACTGCAGCAGCAGCAAGTGGATAATAACAGTTGGCTATACTAAGATAGAGAGAGAGTACGGGGGTCAAATATAGGTTGCAGACATAGCTATAGATATAAATGGAATGTAGATAGATATATCTAGGTATATAAATATAAATATGCATAACTTGAAGTTGTATACAAATATATATAGAGGTTTATACCAGTATAGATATGTATGTATACATATTTATGCATATGTAGTCATGTTTTTCTCTTTATACAAGTACAGACTAGTCTCGATAATTCGTACCCCGCTAAATCGATAATCGTGATAAATCGAAGAAAATGCTATCCCCTTGAAAAAAATTCGTTCTCTATAATTCTCGATAATTTCAATTTCTGTGTAAATCGAATATAAAGGATCCCTTTGCAATTTCGAATTATCGGTATTCTACTGTATTTCTAACGCTTTAACTATATATACCTCTGCATTACTCAGGATTGTGGGGAGGGTGTTTACATATATCAATGTTTATATAGCTCTACCAAAATCGCTTTTTATGTAGATATACGTGAATATATTGGTTAGCCTATATCTGTATCGCATCTGTATTTGTATACCTACACATGCATACATATTTATATACATAAATAGATATTTTTATATCCACTTCTATCTGCATTGATTACTCCATAATTTAATATAATATTCCTGTCTTTTTCACTATATCTCTCAATCCCTCTCTGTCTACTTGAATTGTAGCTTCTCTTCTTCTGCTCTTTCTTACCGTTTTCGTTGCACTGTCTTCTGTCACAGTCTTCTCTCTCTCTCTCTCTCTCTCTCTCTCTCTCTGTCTGTCTCTGTTTTCGATTTTCTCTCTCGTTCATCATTTCATTCCTTCTCTTTCGCCCTCTACTTCGCCGTTTCTCTCTATCTCTGTTTCTCTATATCTCTACGCCTTTCTCGCTATATATCTCTCGCCATTTATAAATCATAGAGCATTTGCAATTCGGCTTACTCCATTCGCTTAAGCCACATACGTTTCCCGCTCACGTTTGCTTTTCTTATTGGCCTGGTCTATATAAATGTCATTGGAGCTTGTAGATGTTTTATTGCCAATTATGCCTGACAGCTTAACTGCATGTGCGTCTCTCTCTCTCACTCCCTCGCTCTCGCTCTGACTCCCTCTCTGTCTCTTTGTATGTGTGTGTTTGTCCTAGTCTAACAATGTTTTTTATTTTCCTCAATTTTCAAATGTTTGCAAACTGTCCTATTCCCGTCTCTCACTCCCGCACTCCCGCACTCTCGCACTGCCTCCCCCTGCCTCCGCGGCACGCCCTGTGCACTGTGTGGCACTCCTATAGGTTTTGTGGCACATTCTGTGTGTTGCCTGCCAACCAGCCTATCGATAACAGTTGATAAGCCGAGGGCTCGCTGCCCAGCAGCCACCCACTGCTGTGTTGTGTTGTTTAAAAGGTTTTCCGTGTAGCAGCGATAATATGGTTAAAATTGAATAACTGCAATACACACACACACACWCACATGCATACACATAGAGACAGAGAGAGAGAGGGAGAGAGATTTGGCAATCGATCGACTGTTGTTGCACTTCCCTCTAAGCTGCATGTGGAAGTCAATTTTAAGCAGATGCTGTTGTGTGGTGCCACACATTCACACACACACACATACACACCTCACACACATTTACACATACATATCGAATCAGCGAAGCTTAAAGTTAGCTTAAGGCCCGAAAGGCCTTTTGGCTTAATCCGCACTTTGGCGCGTTTCTTAGCAGCTTTAAGCCAAACCCCTTGCACCTTCACACTGGCCGCAGTTGGCTGGTGGTGCCGGTGGTGCTGGTGGTGCTGGTAGTGCATGGCCACCACTTTGTTTACAAAAATTATGCAAACTATGCAATTGTTTTAATTTGCAACGTTTTCTCTGTCTTTTTTTTGTTCTGCAATAAATTTAACGCCAGCTAGCCAAATCCAACGGAGAAAGAACCCCATACCAAGGCATGGACTGCCCCAAGGCACTGACTGAGGGACTGTCGGACTAAGGGACTATCGGGCTGTTGGAGTGTCGGACTGTCGGATTGGGGGACTGAGAGACGGAACGGGAATGCGGCTGTGGCCAAGTGCGCTCCGCGTACTCGCTAAGTATGTCTGAACTTATTCAGATCGTTTGTTCAATGTCCGTTAAATTTTATCGCAACATTATCTTCACATTTGATACGAAATGCCACGTCTCAAGAACTTTGTGTATCTGCAAATTGCCCGCTGGATAAGATCTCGCGGCAGTCGCAACTTTCTTTTCGCACTTGATAGATGGCATTTGGCTGGAGGCCAGGGGGCAGCTTTGTAGCTTATGATGTGCAGCTGTCTCTGCTTGCTGTAGAAGACTCTATTAAGCTCTATTGACAGAGCTCTTGACTGCTGTAGGTAGAGCTGTATCCAATAGGGGTAGCTCTTAGGCTAGTTAGGAATTTTAGTAAGGGTAATCCTAAGAGAAATTGTTTTACTATGCTGAAAAGGGTCTGCCATGATAAGGGATCATCACACCATATAGGAAGGGACTTATCCTGAGAAAGATCTATCTTGCCGTAGAGGTCAACAGGTCGTATGAGGATAACGGAAAGGAAAGTTCAATTTATTTATTACAGTAGAGTCCCGATAATTCGAAATGGCAAGAGGATCAGCTTCTTTTTTTCGATTAACACAAAATTGAAATTATCGAGAATTATTGAGAACGAATTTCGATTTAGCGGAATATAAATTATCGAGACGCGACTGTACTGTTTGTATGAAGGCGAGGCTTCATCTCTCTGTCTTATGCAAGTTACTCCGAGCTGACATATGAGTATATTCAAGGGTATCCCATATGCCCAGCTCTCTTGGCTCGTCTGCTAATGCCTAAAACTGGGCGACAAACAATTTTAAAGTCAATTTGTGAGTTAAAGTTCAGTAAGAACAATGGCCAAGTCAGTGGCACACATGCCGAGGCCCCAATCCCAGGACTCGACCCCGGATAAATGGATGGGAGGATGGCTGCTTGATGGAATGTGTATGTGTATGCATGTGTGTGTGTGTGTGTGTGTGTGCGGCTTGTGGCTCTGGGCCTTGGCTCTGCCTCTGGTTTTGAGTCTTGGCTTGATTGAAAGCTCTAAACATAAATCGCGGCATATTTTAATGCGGCTGTGCGCCACTTGACTCGATTGCACAAGAACAACAAAAGTTGTGCTACAATTCATGCATGAAACATGACGCGCTCCTGATATATTTCCAGCCAGCCGCAAAAGCCGAACGTTGAAATCTGCCTGGGTGTTGGCAGTGAGTGGTTAGAGCGGAAGGAATCGCTATATAGGAGCGCACCGCATGCACTGCAAACATAGCAGGGGCTCGTTTGGCATAGCATTTCGAGTGAACGGGACAACACGAGGGAGGAGCAGAGATGAGCGATGAGATGATGAGAAGTACAGAGAAAAGAAGAGAATGGTCAGCATTTAAATATATGTAATTCCTATTAGAATACGGAATCCAATAGGATATGTCACTTTGGGTATTAGAGGATATATATTGCATACAGAGATTGTCGATATATATGTATGTATATACATATGTATGTATGTATATATATGATATCATTGTAAAACATATAATCATTCAGTCCAATTGGAATATACTTTTATATTTAAGCAACGCATTGGAAGCTGCATTCTAATTGGAATCAGATTATATATTTCACTTCATTGCAAATAATATCGTACATAATTTCCATTGTTCCATGTCGTTGATATACGTGTAGACATATATCATCACTAAATATCTATATCACTGTAACACATATATTACATCATTCCAATTGGACTCCACTTGAATACTTAACTCAGGCCATTAGCGTAAGGCGAAGAGTCAACATATAAATAGTATATACAAAATATGTATATATTATACGTTCAAATGGAATTTCTATGGATCTTTAACTTCGTTGGAGGCTAAGCAGCGCTATAAAAACAATTCTAATTGGAATGTACTACAATCTTTCTCTCGGTTTATTTCTTGAAGAGTAGCGTAAACATAGAAAATAAATAAGTACATACATGAATAGATGATTTCATTGTAAATCAAAATTGCGTCATTCCAATTGGAATCCTTATGGATATTTAAATCAGGCCATTTTCTTATGAAGAAGAGTCAATATAAATATATATGAATCCCTTGTAAAATACGAGTATACTACAATTCCTATTGGAATTCCTTTGGATATTTAACTTAGTTTAAGGTTAAGTAGTATTACAAAACATAGAAAACACAATTCTAATGGGAAATTACTAACATTTGTCGCTCAGTGCATTAGCTAAGAAGAAGCGTCATCATAGAAAATAAATATGTATATAGATGATTTCATGGCCAATCATATATTGCGCAATTCCAATTGGAATCCGCTTGGGTATTTCACGCAGTGTATTGGTTGAGCGATTGACGTTTTATCGGGCCGCCATGCACAACTTAAATGTTGACTTCAGCGTGTTCTTGGCAGCATTTCTCCGGCTGCTGCTGCTRCGACATCTCAGCGAGCATCTCGTCGTCGTCTGCGTCTCAAATTAAGCAGCTCCCTTCCCTATTGGGCCGCCAGCCCCACCCATCGGCCCATCTGTGGCTGTGGCCTCAAATCAGAGGCACGCAGGTGAAAGCATTTCTAATGAGCGCGTTTTGGCATTTGGTAACCGATGCGAAGATGCAGTCAGCAGAAGGCAACGGCGACGAAGGCGACGACGTCGACGCAGGCAGCGTCGACTGGGTTTGAGCTGATGGCACGCCATGGGCGCAATTATTGCAACTTCAATAAATTTTCGAGTTGATTACGCACTGAGCGAAATTAATCGCTCGCATACGTCATGCGGCATGCGGCATGCAGCATGCGGCATGTGTGCGCCGGACTGGGACGTTGGCAATTGCAATTAAGTGCGACTTGGACTGTTCGGCTGCTGGGATCGACGGAGGGCGGCTCGGGGCAGCCGGGAAATTCTGCGGGGCAGGAAATTCTGGGAAATTATTCACACTCATTAACATATTTACACCTAAAAACGAACGCTGACAAATGACAAAGAGGCGTGCAGCTACGGTTCTCTCTCCCCGTCTCCCTCACTCTAGCTGTCTCTCTCGTTCTCTCTCTTCAGTTCCAGTTCCCAATTAGACAAACGATCTCGGGCATCGCATCGCTTTGCCATTTAAGCCTTTTTGTCAACTGGCCCCCGGCTGCAGTTATCGTAATCGGAGTCGTATCCATACTCATACTCATATGCTCACACTCACACTCACACTCACACTCATAGTCGTAGTCGTAGTCGTAGCTGCCTGCCGATTACGATTAATGAGCAGGCACTTAAAAATGTTCATGGCACGCGCTACGCAAAGCCAAAGTCAACGAAGCCAAAGCGATTTCTTTTCTTTTGGGCTGGTGCATCGGGTTTATTAAGTTGTTGCCAGTTGTTCAACACCTGCCCAGTGGCAAGTGGCAAGTGGCAAGTGGCGAGAGAGGAGAGGGGAGAGGGGAGTGACAAGAGTCGCACTGCAGATCGCCGCACGCAGCTGATTGGCAATTTGCTGCTCTCGGCTCTCAGCTTCGTCTCTCATTTGTCTTGGCTGCAAATCCAAGTCAATGCACTTGACCAGCTGCCGGCGGCCAATTAAGCTGCGGGTCGCGGCTAATACGCAGCGGACAGAGACCGCAGCCCAAAGCCAGCCAAACAGTAGCCGTCTGACTCTGCGACTCGCCGACTCTGCGACTCTCCGCCTCCAGTTGTCCAGCTGTACGGGTCTGTTGTGACGTATTTGGCCATTGACAGCGTCTTAATGGATTAACATTTGTCAGTGTCGTGTTAGGCAGCCACAATGCCTGCCCCACACCCCACACGCCACTGGCTGCGGCTGCCCGGTTTTCGAGCCCGAATCCGAAGCTAGGCCACGGCTTAAGATTGAGCCTTATTTGCATGCAGGCTGTGGCTGTGGCTGTGGCTGTGGCTGCAACTGTGGCCAGAAGGCACCGCAGAGGC